TCCCCAAAGCCCTCATCACCCCACCCGTTTTCTTTGTGTCCTCCCCTTGCAGCCATGCCCACCCTTCCCCACCCTCTCCAACCCCGGGAAGCCAGTGTTTGGCTCTGTTTCTCGGGTTCTGTCATTTCACAGATAAATGGAAACATGCAGCCTTTTTTCTCTCTGAGGCTGACTTTTCCCACCCATTCCCAGCGTGATTTCCAGTTCATTCCGGTTAGCGTATGTGTTAATGAGTTTGCTCCTTTTTATTGGTCACCGGTGATCAATGATCTGAGTGAACCACTCAGATATTTTGGTCAGATATTTTGACCATCTGCCCATTGAAAGATGTTTGGATGGTTTCCTGTTTTGGGTCATCATGAAGTTACTACGATGTGAATATTTGGGGACTAGTTTTTACTTCTGTGAGATGAGTGCTCAGATTACCATACCGTAGCTGGGTGTATGGTAAATCCAGTTTTAGTTTTGAAGGAAACTTCTAAATTATGTTTCAGGGTGACTTTGCCATTTGGCACTGCCAACAGCCCTGGGTGAAGGATCCCTGTCTCTGCACCCTGTCCCGTATTTTAATTTCCCCCTGCTATTCTGTGTGTTAGCCATTCTAATAGATGTGGTCTGTCATTCAACGGTGATTTTAATCTAATGGCTAATGACGTTGAACGTCTTTTCATGTGCTTATTACTCATTCATAATCCTCTTTGGGGAAATGTCTTTTCATGTCTTTTGTCTGTTTTCTAATTGGATTGTTTTTTTTTTTTAAATTCAGTTCTAAAATGATTGAGATCTCATTTATAAACCAGAAGATTCGCTTTTTATTTTTATTTTTTTGTGGTACTGGGGATTGAACCCAGAGATGCTCTGCTATGGAACGACATTTCTGGTCCCTTTTATTATTATTATTATTTTTTTTTATTTTGAGACAAGATTTCACCAAATTGCAGAGTGTTATCTCCAGTTTGACATTATCTTCCCTCAGTTCTCCTGAGTAGCTAGAATTATAGATGTGTGCCACTGTACCCAGCAAAAATTCACATTTTAAATAATCTTTAGTATATTTCTGAAGTTGTGCAACCATCACTGCTAATCCCCCCAAATGACTGTTGTTCCCCAAAGAAAGTCCAACTCATTAGGAATTGCTCCCCACTCCTTCTTCCTTCTCATCCCTAGCAACCAGCAAGCAACCTTCTGTCTTTATAGATATGCCTATTCTGGACATTTCTTATAAATCTAATCATAGAACATGTGACCTTTTGTGACATTTTCAAGGTTCACCCATGTTGGAGTGTGTATCAGCCCTCCATTTCTGTTGATTGCCAGACAATATCCCACTGTTTGAACATACCATGTTTTGTTTATCCATTCATCTGTTGATGGATATTCAGGTTGTTTCCACTTTTTGGCTCTATGAATAATGCTGCTGTGAATATCCATGTGAAAGTTTTTGTGTGGATATGTTTTCATTTTTCTTCGGTATCTACCTGGAAGTGAAATTTCTGAGTCATATGGTAATTCTATGTTGAACAGTTTGAAAAATTGCCCGACTATTTTCCAAGTGGCTGCACCATCTTACAATGCTGTCAGCAAAGTCTGAGGGTTCCAACATCTTCACATCCTTGACAACACTTGTTATTATCTTTTTTATTTTTAGCCATCCTATGAAGTGGTACCTCCTTGTGGTTTTGATTAGCATTTTCCTGATGATTAATAATGTGGAAATTCTTTTTATCTATTATCTGTTTGCATATGTTATTTAGGGAAACGTTTATTTAAATCCTTTGCTTACTTTAAAATTATTTGCCTTTCTATTGTTGAGTTCTTATATCTAAATACTAAACCTTTGTCAAATATATGGTTTGCAAATATTTCTCACATTTTGTGGGTTGCCTTTTAATCTTGATGGTGCCCTTTGAAGCACAAAAGCTCTTCATTTTTTATTTTAATTACTCTATTTTTGTTGTCATGGTTTGTGCTGTTTGTGTCATGTTTTATAAACCGTTTGTGTAACCCAAGGCCAAGAAATGTTCCTCCTGTTTTCTTCCAAGAGTTGTGTAGTTTTAACTCTTACATGTAGGGCTGTGGCACAGTTTTAATTAATTTTTATATGATATGAAGTTAGGTCCAACTTCTGGGCCTGTGGACAGACAGTGGTCCCAGCACCATTTGTTAAAAAGATCATTCTTTCTCCACTGAATGGTCTTTGCGCTCTTGTTGATTTAGTCAGTTGCCCATAAATGCAAGAATTTGAGCACGTTGCCTTTGACTATAAGGGAGAGGCAAATGGAGGTTTCCAGAGGATCGAATGAGACCTAGAGTGTGATAGACTGCAATATTGATCCTAAATCTTTATTCCTGCCTAAGGTTGTACCTTTGCTATTGCTTAAGCAAGGGAAGAAAGTATTCACTTGTTTTCAACTTTGGATTTGACTAAGTGACTTTCCTTGATCAGTGCTTAGTGGGCAGAAAGGACAGGGTTCGTGTTCTGAGGGTGGCAATTCACGCTTCCGTGTAACCATTTATGCTCTTGCCTGTCCACCATTGCCGTGAAAGGACAGGTCCCCATTCACTCATTAGTCCCAGGAAGATGAGGGACATGGGTTAAAGTCACCCAGACAAGCATCCCAATTGAGTCCAGCTTAGACCAGCCAACCCCATACTACATACAGGTAAGGGAAGAATGATAAATGATAATTGCTACTGGGTTTTGGTGTGGTTAAGCGAGACACAGAGTGTGAGATGTCTTTGTGTACTATGAAGTATAGTTGGCCCTCTGTGTCTGCATTTGTGGATTCAAACAACCA